TCGACTATTCTAGTGGTGTTCAGGGGTACAGTGGCGCATACGCGTAAAGTTAATATTCAATCAGGCCATATTAGACGTTTTTCAATGGCCGCGCGTGAACTTGAAAAAATGAATCATATTGAATAGAAACAGTACAAAGTAGAGCCACATGCATACAAAACACATTCTCACCATACAACCTAAAATACCAACTTCATTTTTTAATATTTATTTATTAAACTTCTTTTCATATCTACGACAGAGGATTAATAGTCCACAGATGGGTATAGAACTGATCTTCATAATTTAATTTTTTATACTAGCAGTATCCCGAACATGAAAATGAGATATCATTCTAAGCTGTGCTCGGAGAATAGATGAAATCTAGCAGTCAGAAGTGGAAATTCGAAGGGACGTCAACAATCATCTATGAATTGTGTCTTGAGAATCATATTAAATAATCTAAAAAGAGAGGTACGATCTCGTTAAGAAAAATGCTCGTCTCAGACGATACTATCAATAGATGTTTTGGTCTGGACGTATTTATTTAATGATATTTGAAAAAGAGGCAGATCAATAATGAGAGATGATGATTAGATTAAATTCAGCTCATGTTCAAGAAAGTCATAATGATGCGCATTCCTTGTTTATTGCTTTTAATCAATTCGAAATGAGCCTTTGACCATATCATATATCTGACTATGAGGATGATGTGAGCCACATTCTCCATTACAAACCATGACTGTAACATTATATACTCCTGGATACCATTGTTCACATTCCTCTATTATGAAGAATATAAATTATCTTTTAAGAACAAAACAATCAATAACTTCTTACCGGTACCAGGATCACACGTTGGATCTGGACTTGCATCAACAGTAATACGTTCAGCATACCTACCTGGTTTAAGTGATTCAATCAAAAAAGTAGTAGTGATTTCAATGAAATCAAGAGTTTGAATATTAATTACTAATTGACCAGTACCAGTTCCATTAACAGATTCATAAGCAAAATCAATAACAAATGTACTATAAACTGGAGCATGCGATGGTAAAATAGAGAATGATTTAAATTTAGCATCACCGTTATCATTTACTAAAGCAACAGAAAAAAAAATGTTTTTAATTTAATAAAAATAAAATGTTTTCTTTTACTTGGGCAAATTTTTAATGATTCACAAAAATAGATTGGATCAAGATCAACTTCTTTAGCTATTTTAATAAATTCGTTAACTCCCAGTGCATCACAACCGACTGCACAAATAGCATATAAAACAGGTGATCCTGACTTTGCAGTAACATAATCACATATATCATCACATGTATTTATAATACCCACTTCAATAATACCATCAAGAATTAAATAGATTAAGGTATCAAATGTGTCAACACAATCTCGACAGAGATCGTTAGCATTATTGTCTTGTTTCAATGGCAATGAAAAACGTCTAATATGGCTTGATTGAATATTAACTTTACGAGTATGCGCCACTGTACCCCAGAACACAACTAGAATAGTCAAAGTAATAACCTTGTACATCTGTTTTTCTTCTTCTGTAGATAATATGAAGGAAAATGCATTTCGTACATTGGTAATAAATACGATGCTTGTGGGAAGCAAAACAACCTGTTGCAAATATTATCAATTATCAAACAAAAGGACATTTTGTTTTCCGAGGTTCTCCACCAAAAACTACCACAAGAAGAACCGGCAGCTTGACTATATTTGATTGCATGATACTGGAATCAGGCGACGTAGGCTCGGATACAGACATATTTTTCTGGCCATGCAAGTTTGCGTATTGGAAATTAAGGATACTCATCATTTTTGAGTCAAAACAAAGCTTTCACTATCACTAAACTAATCAATTTAAAATATCAAGTCTCGATAGTGTACCTAGAGCAAGTTACTTATATTTCAAAGTACACTGATTTATCCTGTATAGATATAAGCAAAAGCATATTTCTATTCTTCCCATTGTTAAACAGTGAAATAAAGTCATTCTCAATCCCGAAAGGATAGCTTGAAGAATGGATATTTTTGATCGATTTGCCTACGGTCTGATTGATGAAAAATCGAAATCACATTTCTCAGTTGAAAAAGCGATTGTTCGATGTTCTATCATAATCAAACATTGGTTTTTAGAAGGAGAAACCCCAAACCGAACTTCATTTCCCTCAAAACTACATTGATAGATCAAGAGCTAATAGAGATTGGCGTTTTGGAGAGTTAGCCTTCGCAGAATAGTTTGCCATTCGATGGTTCATTGACTACGCAGCAGTGTCACATACCCAGGAAATTGGAGATGCTGAAGAAGTGCAGGAAGATGCGGGAGATGCCGAATCTCCTGAGGACATGTGCTTGGAGATGCGGCATTTCCCGCCGGGGTCTTTGTTTAAAAAAAGAATTATCGTGCGATGTTGCGTCTCTACAGGAGATGCAGCATCTCCTGCGGGACATGCATACTCGGCTGGAATCCCAAGCTATAAATCGAAAACCCTTTCATTAGGAGATCCCGCATTTCCTGGGGAGAAGAGCACCAAGATTTTCTATTTTATTTTTAGCCTGCGACACCAGCAGAAGATCCATCTTCCGCAGTAGATGCTGCATCTTCTGCAGCGATCCCGCATTTTTCACACTGCTCCACAGAGAGATGCGATATCTCTCGTATCGTTATCTCCCAGCATCTTCCGATAAAATTTTGTTTTTATTTTTAATCAAGGACCCAGGTGAGAGAAGTCGCATCTCCAAGCACATCTCCCCAGAAGATTCGTCATCTCTAAACATCTCTATAGCAAGGATAAGGGAAGAAACACGAGCACTCACGGACACACAACCACATGTCACGAGTATGGATGAGGGTAACAACGCGAACACACACGGAAACATATACAGCCACATCTCTTTAGTGCGGGTGTGAGAGAAAACGCTAACCCACGTGAGAACACCCATAATGTAATCGTCTATTGGTAGATAGTTTGGCATCTCCCATATCTTCCTATTCTTCTCCAGCATTCCCGATTTTTAGGATATGTGAGACTTTTCTGACTACGTGATTGACATACTCAAAAGCCCTTGTGGCTACTATGTGCTTAGTCAACCTGCGCGGCGAGCTTAAGTGATTAACCGGAAGGAACTCTGAGCCAACCAGCTTTCTTTCCAGAGTTATAGCTAGTAATAGATGTATGAAAAAAATATTGGGCCTTCGAAACTATCTTTAGACAGCATCCTATATCGCAAAGCAGCTGAAAGGCAGGATACTCCTCTTCGTTTTCTTCTAGAGTAGTTTGAGACGACAGTTTGAATTGTAGCTATATTGCCCTGAAAATACTTTAGTGGGGTAAGGCGCCAGTAGAAATAGAAGTTCGTGTTGTGACCTAAGTCTTCTTCAGATGTAGTCATAAGGATTTTCCTGTTTATGATCATACCTATGCACTTTGGTTTTCCTTCTCTCCTCTTGTTGTTAGCCGTGCATCATAGATTTTTCCTTTCCTCTCAGATTCGTATATGTGACAGTATTTTTTCTTTCACTTATAAGTATATGGAATGAACAATACCCTCCATTTTTGATATTCTATGTTTAGCTTTGTTTTACGGATCTCTCTTTCTTCTTCATAATCTATGAGATTTTTCTATATCATCGCTATATATATTCTTGATATATTTTCTCAACAAAGAGACATTACCAACAGATATAGCTAAGAAATGAATTACAAATGGCATTAATATCTAACACTTAGAATGGAAGACTCCACCGAAAGATAGTCAGAAAATGAATGTTGAAATTTGTAGTCTGTGTGGCTTAAAACGCAATTCTCTATCTCGAAAGGATGAGTCTTCATATGTTGATGTATTTTACGGGTGCTCTAATTCTTTGATTAAAATCAACCAATGAGACTTTCGCAGATCTCTGCTTCAGTAACTTTGAGGTCTTTTATTTGTATTGTTCAATTACTCAAAATTTTTTCTATCCAGCTATGAATGTATCAAGTTTCTGAATGCTGGGAATTCAACTAATGAAGGTGTGAGTGCGAATGTCGGGAAGTGTGAATAAGCGAAGCAATGTGGATATGGATTTGTGCTTGCATCACAGCTGCCAACCATGCACATTGTTGATCTGGATTTATTCCTACGGAAACGTTTTTCAAAAAAGTCCATTTCTGTCGGTTTTGGGTCCGCTAATCTAACAGTGACACATGAAGAATGAGGGTCTTCGTATTTTCTTCATGTCTTCTCTAGTTGTCATGAATTCGGATGGAACTTTCTTAATAACATTGATCATTTGATTGTGTACGAAGTCATAAAATGATGTATCTCATAGAAATGAAATAAAATAAAAGACGTTATTATTGTAATATTACAGACATGCAATACCAACTGCTTGCAAAGCATTTCCAGGGGACCAGTCAAAATAAAGTTCTTCCCTGTGTTTCCTCAATATCTTTGTTGTTTTCAATAGTTATGAATTCCACACTTTCAAAAAGGCTTTGCGTTCAACCCTCAATGACAACGCGATTTTTTATCGAAGACCAATAAGTAATGCTTAATTTGTGCAGTAACGCTGCGCTAGGAAAATTCCAGAGAACACTAATAAGATAGCACTTTTGAAGCTCTACAGAAGCTTGTTAATGCAGTTCTTCAGAGGCTGAAATGTGTAACTCACGTATCTTCTTTAACTTCATTATTTTGACTTGATTATAAGCATTGGATTAAATGACTAATAAGACTGACAAATACTAAGAATTTAATCTCGGCTACTAAAGTCTATAATATGGGCATGACTGGCTTTAGCCTGTAATAGGGTGAAGATGAGAGTCGAAACAACTTGGCTTGAAATGTTCACTCACTATTTTGTTCGAACATTCATGCCAATGTCACAAAATAGACAGTACAATTTGTTTATCAAGCTTGATTTGGCAACACATAAACACAAGCGAGCTGCATTTCGAGTTTTAAAGTTATTGATATTGAATACTTGTAGCATTACTACAATAACGCTTTTTCCTTTTATTCCTGTAACATCCACATATATGTGGTTTTGTGGAGAATCAAATACTGCATCGCTGAGAGAATATTCAGTCCAAATCTATGAAAACTAGAGAAAATATTGCGAAAGAGGAAGGCACTCATTCATTGTAGACTATCCTTAAGTTGCAAGAAAATTGAGTTCGAACTCGGGCTCCCTGTCTTCTCCCCCCGCCTAAAAGCCAATGTTTGATTATGATAGAACATCGAACAATCGCTTTTTCAACTGAGAAATGTGATTTCGATTTTCCACCAATCAGACCGTATGCAAATCGATCAAAAATATCCATTCTTCAAGCTATCCTTTCGGGATTGAGAATGACTTTATTTCACTGTTTAACAATGGGAAGAATAGAAATATGCTTTTGCTTATATCTATACAGGATAAATAGCNTCATTCTCAATTCCGAAAGGATAGCTCTGAAGAATGGATATTTTTGATCGATTTGCGTACGGTCTGGTTGATGGAAAATCAAAATCATATTTCTCAGTTGAAAAAGCGATTGTTTGATGTTTTATCATAATCAAACATTGGTTTTTAGATGGAGGAACCCAAAACCGAACTTCATTTCCGTCAAAACTTCATTGATAGATCAAGACCTAATAGAAATTAACGTTTTGAAGACTTAGTCTTCGTAGGATAGTTTGCCATTCGATGGTTCATTTACAGCACAGCAGTATCACGTACCCAGGAAATTGGGGATGCTGAAAAAGTGCAGGAAGATGCGGGAGATACCGCATCTACTTTAGATACCAAGTCTCGTCGAGAGATGTCGAATCTCCTGGAAAGATGTTCTTGAAGATGTGGCATTTCCAGCCGGGGTCCTTGTTAAAAAGAAATTTATCGTGCGATGCTGCGTCTGTACAGGAGATGCAGCATTTCCTGTGTGACATGCATCTCCGGTTGAGATTCCAGGCTGTAAATCGAAAAACCCTTTTCATTAGGAGATGCTTGAAAATATGGATACGGGAGATGCCGCATTTCCTGGGGAGAAGAGCATGAAGATTTTCTATTTTATTTTTAGGCTGAGACACCAGCGGAAGATACATCTTCTGCAGTAAGTGCCGCATCTTCTGTAGCGATCACCCATTTCTCCACAGAGAGATGTGGCATCTCTCATATCGTTATTTTCCAGCATCTCCCGATAAAATTTTGTTTTTATTTTGAACCAAAGACCCTGGTGGGAGATGCAGCATCTCCAAGCACATCTCCCCAGAAGATTCGGCATCTCTATAGCGAGGATAAGGGAAGAAACACGAGCATTCACGGGCACACAACCACATGTCACGAGTGTGGATGAGAGTAAAAACGCGAACACACACGGAAACACTTACAGTCACATCTCTTTAGTGTGGGCGTGGGAGAAAACGCCAACCCACGTGAGAACACCCATAATGTAATCGTCTATTGGTAGATAGTTTAGCATCTCCCAAATCTTCCTACACTTCTCCAGCATTACTGATTTTTAGGATATATGACACCTCTCTGACTATGTGATTGACATACTCAAAAG